ACTGTTGGTAAACAACCAATAATAAGGAGACAACACATAATAAACATTCCTAATTTTCTATGACGTTTCAATAAAGAATATTCATCACTCAATGCTGAATACATTGCTTCGAGACCACCAAAATCACTATCTAATCCTAAATTGATAACCATTAAAAAAAATAAGATGGCAAAAAATGTTGGATATTTAAATGTTGCTAAAATTTCTGGATAAGCTATAAATGATAAACTTGCTCCTTGACCAACAACTGTTGTTATACTTTTATTTAAACGATAGGACATATGACCTAAAGCTGAAAAAACAACAAAACCAGCTAGAAAACTTGCTGCAAAATTTGCTATCACTGAAATTAATGCATCATAATAACAATTATTAGTTGATACATTATATGAACCATAAGTTGTTAAAACTGATAAACCAGGACCAAGTGTAAAGAATATTTGATTAGCTGCTGAATACCAAACCTTCATATCTTTTAATTTTGCATATGTTGGTTTTAAAAAATAAGTTATCCCAGCATATGAACCTTGTAAACTAAGACCTTGAATAAGTAATATTATTAAAACAATATACGGTAATACAGCAGTAACATAAACAGCTTTGCCTAAACATTTATAGAAAAAAAACTAATAATTTTAAATAGATCTTTATCTATAATTTTACCTGTGCCTTTAACTCCACGACAAATACAAATATACATAAGAATAAATATTGTTATAAGACAGAAAAGTAAATCAATTTTTACATAACCTAAATCTGTTAAACCTTTGGAACGATCTATACCTAACATATAAATATTATAATATTCTTCAGCAGATGAAACTTGTAAATCTTGATTATCTAATAAACTTTCATTGAAAGATACTTGTTGAATAGTTTCATTATGTATATAATGAATACGCATGCGTTCTGAACAAAAACGTGTATTCCATGAATTTCCACATAAACTCCATGGCATTATTTCATGAAATGATGATATTAGGTAAAATAAAGCATGTGCTATCATAAAAAAATACATAACTTATTCAAATAAGAATAAATTTATTTCTTCATACCGATAATAGTTGTATAGAATAAAGTAACAGCCGTGACAATTAAAAGAGATGATATACCGATACCTTTCATTGCTGGAGCAATTCGACCCCATAATGTTATATTACCACAACGATAAAATTGACCGAGAAATAATTCGAGATATCTATTAAAAAATACACATAGTCGAAAAATTGAAATATGAAAGATCTAATAAACTTACAACATAGGAATTCCAATCAAGCATAAAAAGATCATATATGGAATGAGAAATGCTCCACCACCATTCTCATAACACATGTATGGAAATCTCCATACGTTACCTAATGAATAAATGATTAAATTCTTTTTTATTCTCCTTTTTTTCAAGTGTATATCTACCTAGATCAACTACATAGCCAATAACTGAAAGAAGAAATTCAATTTTATTCGTCCATAAATCTCGTGAAATTGTAGGCGATAATGGAGTCAATGCTAATGTTGATTTTGTTACAACAACTACTTGTTCAGTAGTATTATCTTTAATAGTTGTTGATTTTCTTGTTTCTCTACGCTCTAAAATATTTCCATTCATTTCTATATACAAGTTTTTCTTTTATTAAATCCACATTCTGAAGAATAAATCGATACATACTTTCACCTATTTGAAGTTCAACCCATATCTCATCATTTAACATTGCCATTGTAGTTTAGAAATACTTTACTTAATTTTCTAATATGATCGTCTAATATTGTGCATGTATATTCCGAAATGAACCTTTTCAACATATTCCTTAAATAGTATCTATGTGATTGATTTAATAATCTCACGAGAATATATTATTAAAATGGGTATCTTAATCATGATAAAAATAGCAACAACAACATAGTAAAAGAAGAAAAACTTTCATTACATTAATCAACTATTAATAAAGAAGTAAAACTACTACGGATCATCTATTACTAAAATATAGTAATAACGATGATGTTGAATGATCACACAGTTTTTATTTCATTTTTGAATTTAGAAAAAAGGGAAGTTCATATAAAATATTATTCATTGAAGATTATCCAGGTCTTTTTTTCTGATTATTATCTGTAAATAGCGAGCAAATATGATCTTAAACAATATCCAGACACCGTTGGGAATTGATATTAAAAGCAAGATTAGATATTATCGCTTGACATGGGTCATAAAAAAAAGAGTATAGATAAAAAAAAATTTAGATCTTGTGGACTGGATTTTTTCAGTAAAAACAATAGACAAAATATAATTTGAACTCGATCAACAGCAATTGATTCTGCTGGGATGAATTTTATCATCAAAATATAAGACAATTAATATTCTTTTTTTTTACAAATAAATATAAAATTAGATTTTTTTGTGCGTGTAGAAATATAATGAACTTTTTCTGTATACTTAATATATACTCTTGAATATGCATTGTATTCTAAATTATACGTCTGCAGTATCGAAATAATCGTCTTTTTCTAAGATGTTTTGTTATTCGATTCTGTATGTATTGATATTCATGCCATGTCTGACATACTTCAAATGAAAGAATCAAATATATATATATATATGTTTGTTCATCTCGTCCAAATAGAATTGTTGATATTGAATGTCAAAAGTTCATGCACTTTTTAACATTTTACGACTAAAGAACAGTCGATATTATTGTCGGAGTATAAATATAATATATATATATATTGTCTTCAATTTTGATTAACTTAAATATTTAACGAATAGTCTTATTATTTATTCATTATAGATATTATAAACAAGGTAATCAGATCATATAATTCTCATTTTTCTTTGATAGACAAATCGAATTATAGTCATATTCTTTCAAATAGATCAATCATCGTTTTTTTATGTAAGATTAAATATAGTTTTTCTTTTCAATTTCGTTATTCGAACGAAAATGAATAGTAGAAGGATCTTTTTATTAAAGGCCAAGCTCGACATCTGTTACTCGCATTTACATTTATTTAACAACAGAATACAAAAGAATGAAGCAAACGAATAGTGTCTTGCTTGTTGATACTGTTATTCATAGACGAATTCTTATCGTTATCACAATGATTTTACGACAAGTTTTTTCTTCTTTTTTTTCGTTTAAATATTAATAAAATTCAAAAAAAAGAAACAATATGATCTTTTTGTCTTTAAACAACTATTTTTCGATAGTTATCCGTTATATGGTAGGTATTTTGAAGAAGAATAAATGAACATGGTGAAAATTATTACAACCACCATATTCGTACTTCTCTTCTCTTTTTTTTCTAATCGTTCTATCGCGAATAACAACAGCAGTCACTATCGCCGTCACATACATTTAAATTCTGTCACAATCAAACACACGTACATGTATATATATATATATTTTTTTCATTTTCTTTCTCGGCTTCATTTCTTTATGCTTACTTGCGGTAGGCGCGTGATGATGAAAAATACAATCATTTATATACCTATATACATATACACACGTTATAATTTATTTTTCAGATTTCTTTCTAATCAATCATGGATGATACAAATGATACAAGTTTTGTTGTCGATGAAGTATCAAATATAATTAAAGAATCAATTGAATCAAGTATTGGAGCACAATCATATCAACAAGCAAAAATTAATACATGGACATCGAATATAGTTGAAGCTATATTAAATTCTCTAACGAAATTAAATAAACCATTTAAATATATTGTTTCATGTGTAATTATGCAAAAGAATGGTGCTGGTTTACATACTGCAAGTTCATGCTTTTGGGATAATACAACAGATGGATCATGTACTGTTCGGTATGAATTAAAATTCATTGAGAATTTAAATTTATTATTCTTTTCTTCTTTGTTTTAGTTGGGAAAATAAGACAATGTATGCAATTGTTTCCGTTTTTGGCTTATCGATCTGATGGAGTTCTTTTTTTCTTCTTTGAATGAGCAAATAAATCGAACAATATCGTCTTGTAGTTTAAATTTTACTTTATAAAAAAAAAACAAACCAAATTAATACAGATTACAAGAGCATGAATGAAATACAATTGATAGATTTCGTTTTTAAAGAGAGAATTCTATGTACAAAAAAAATTTATTAATTTTCTTTGGAACATTGTATATTCTATATTATCGATCAATGAATTAATCACTGGAATATTTAGTGGTTTTTTTGTACATGCAATGATAAATAATCTGACTTGAAATAATAGATCATGATGGTGAACATTTAGTTGAATGTGATCGTTTTGTTTGATCGAGAGATTTTTTACTATTATTAGAAGTATTCTTGGATAATTCATGTGGAGGAGGAGATGGAATATTTATTATAAGATTTGTTTCTGAACGAGCATGTGAGAGATAATATGGTGATGTAGGTGTAGATGTTGTTGGTTGGTCAGTAATATTTGATGTATTGCCTACACTGCGAGCTTCATCAATCAGATTTTCTTCTGGATTGCCTTCTTCGTCGATTGGCTAAATAAAGAAATTTATGAATTTCATGACAAAGTTTTCTCAGGTCAAAAAATCTGGCATCAGATCTTGCAAAGTCTTATAAGATCTTGTAATATGAACAAAATCTTACAAGAATCTGACAAAAAATTGTAGTCGCTGAAATATTGTATCAATTCCTACCACATTTTTCTTGAAAGATCTAACGCGCCTGTATTTTTGAGTATAATTTCTAAGTAAGATTTTACGAAGATATTAGTTTTAATGAAATGTTTTGGTGACATTCTACCACATAACAGAATCTTACAAGAATTTTTAAATACAATTTAGTACAAGAAATTAGAGACTACGATTTTTTGTCCGATCCTTGTCTGATTCTATCAGATCAGATATAATCGAACATACGATTCCTACAGGATCTTGCTATCTGATTATTCGACCTGGGTTATTTAAACTCAATAAAATCTGCATATAGACAATTATACAATGCATCGAACTCTGACTCCAATATTAAGTTTTTAAATAGTTGTCTTATATTTTTTAAGAAGTATACGAGATAATGATAAAGATACGAAATAGATAAAACACTCATAATTCGTATTATATAAGTTATGAGCTAAATTTCTTCTCCGAATTTTAAATTTAATTAAATTCTATTCATAGAATAGTGTTCAATAATAGAATATCATTTCTCATTAATTCCATAATATCCCTAATCAATATTTTTTAATAAGAATTTAAAACAAAGAATATTTACAGGTTCTTGTATATCATCAAACATTCTATTGATATGCATGCTTGAGTTGAATCCACTTTCTATTAAACCAGTTGAAGTACTATTCGAACTGCGATAATTTCCATTCGAAGATCCATTTCCAATTGCTTGTTCATAATTTGGTATACTTAATAGAAGTGGATTACAAACAATTGTTGATACTGATGATGTACGTTGTTCTGATAGATGTCCATTAGGACTAGTACTTCTTCGTTGATTTGTATCAATTGAATCACCTGCTTGTAATGAATGTATAACTTCGAAAACAGATGATGATGTCTGAGTATTTCTCTGTCCAAGTCCATCGGCTGTTTCTGCTAAATCATTTTCATTATGAAATATACGTTGAAAATTTGTTAAATTTGTTTTATCAATTGGTACATCTGTTACACATGCCTAGAAAAAAGAAGGACCGTACACGTTCAATACAACTAACATCTATATGGAAACATTAAAATCTTACAATTTCATCAAGTGCATTGGATAATAACTGTTCGGGTTGCATACGTCTATAATGTGTGTCACTTCCACGTTGCCTTTGTGTTGCTCGAACAGCTGCTAACCAAACTAAACGATGTATTTGTAAAACTTGTAATTCACTATTTACAATTAAATTATAATCGGGAATAAATATCGATGATATTCCATCAAGTAAATTTGTTATTTTAGTATTTTTAGAATCTATAGTTAATAAACGATCAAGAAATTGATGAACATCTTTTACAGTTTTATTTTCAGCAAGTAATGCTGATGCAGCAAAATAACTAAATGGCCCAACAGTTGACATAATATGTTCGGCACCTGATTCTAATATTGCATTTCCTTGCATAACTAATGTAAATAATTCATAACGAAAACCTTTTTTATATAAATAAATTGAATTTGTCTTTTGATTCACTTGACGTTTTATCATTGCATAAATATTATAATTAAGAAGTAATTTTAAGATTTCCTGAGAAATAAAACCTGACGTAAATTGTGGAACATCTAAATAAATATATAGAAAGTTAAGAAAATTTAATTTTTAAGGAAGATATAACAAAGCAAAAGCCACTGAACTTACTATTGTACTTTAGATTTAGTAAGAATAATAAAATATTAGAACATGCAATGATTGAATAAAATGAAATACACTTACTTGTACTTAAAAATTGAAAGACAGCAACTTTTAATTGAGGATTTACTGATGGACCTAAAGAGAAAATTTATTAATGATGGGAGTTATAATAAGCTGTAGTCTTTTTCAATTGTGAAATATATTTAAGCATTTACATCAATGTCGAATAAAACTTTGGGATAAATCTCTATTTTAGGTGGGTTAGTTTTATCTTCAAAAAATTGATGATAATTTGTTTTGATTATGATCTAAGAATGAGATTTGTCAGTTTCGAAGACTGTAAACAAAGTGAAAACTCTCGGAATTTTGTCAATGATTATACCTGTCGATATTCAATTGTACGACAAGGGTGATAGTTGATTCTAAAACAATAGAATTATTGAAATTAGCGTAAATAATAGGGCAACTCAAAGAATGAACCGTTTTGTATTTGTACTTCGGAAAGTAATAATTTTCTTTGTCTATCTTACTAATAAATCTATAAAGGACAAAGTATTTAAAAAAAATTAATATAAACCTTTGAGAGGTCGTTTGACTAATGCTGTATAATCCATTGTTTTTGCTCTTTTCCGTTGAATTTTACGACGATTATCAGCTACAAATATATCAAAATATTATTTGTTTTTTTTTTCAATATTAACTTTAATTTACTGAAGAAGTCAGCTTCTTCTATAATTTCTCGTTGAAGCATCTCTTCAAGAACATCTTCAAGTGTAATAACACCAACAGTTGCATATAATGGATCAACATTATCTTCTTCATTACGTAATTCTTGTACAAGAGCAATATGCCATCGTGCTAAATTCAAAAACAAAAATCAATAATCAAAATTTATTTCTTATTTATATTTTACATTTAAGAAATTCTTGCATTAAATTATATAATGAGTCTGTTGTTTTTGTAAAACCAAATGGATCTATTTAATTATATAAGTCAAACAATTAATTACAATTCATATGTATATATATATATACTACATACGTAGATGAAATTCCATTAGATGTTTAACTGTTAAATGATATTGTTCAGGAGTTATTAAAGCAAAATCTCGTAATTTAACAATACCAACAACATTTGATCTTAAGAAAAATAATTAGAAAAAAAAAATAAAGATATTTTTTATACTAACTTTTCTTGTGAATAAACTGGAATACGTGAAAAACCATGTTTATGAACTTCAAGTAATAATTCAGCATCAGTTATACGATCTTTATCAACCATAAACACATCTGGTAGCCATGTCATTGCTTCTTTGACAGTTTTCTTACGTAATGCAAGTACACCTGTAATAACATCAAGTTCTGGTTTTTCAATATCAGCACTAATACGTGTTAACATTCCAGCTATTTGATCACGTGTATATGATGCTGTAACTTCTTGTCCAAGAATTTTATCAAGAACAAAACCTAATGGATACGAAATAGGTGAACTAATAATCATTGATGCCCATGTTATAACATGTGTATGTGCACCAATAATTAAACCATAACGAGAACAAATAGCTTGAGGAATGATTTCACCCATTAATACAATCATTATTGTTGAACCAATAACAGCAAATAAACCATGTACAAGTGAATCAAGTAAAACAGTACCTAACGAATTAACCAAAACATTTGCTAATACAATTGAACATAATAAAAAATTGCCACGTCTTCTTAGTGGTAATACACGTCGAGCATAGTAACGAATTGCAGCATCTTCTGATTCAGCTATTAAACGTAAATCATTAACACTCATTGACATTAAACCCAAATTAAGACCACTATATATAAAAAGAAACATATCATATCCTTATTTCTTTTTAAAAACTACTATTTACCTATAAAAACCTGATATAATAAACAACGTAAGAATTAAACATATTTTAGCTGCAAATGGTAATCGATTTTTTTCTCTTACAAATGTATAATAAACATTGTCTAATTTTGTTGCATTTTGAAATTCAGTATTATTATTTGATAAAGATAATGAGATATTTGATGATGTCAATAAACAAATATATACAACGGAATGAGATTTTGATACGCTTGGAAGTTTAACATCTAATGTAATAATTGGTGCTGATGATAATGGATAAAATGGTGAGATATAATCATCTGGTATACAATCATCACCAGATGAAGAAAATACAATTGAACTATTCTGAAGATTAATACCGCTTAAATAAACACGAAATTTTCTTTCTTCATTCAATATCCAACCGTGTTTGGGTTCAAAATTTATAACTGTTTCTAGATCTGTTGTAAAAACAAGAAAATTTGTTATTAATGGAGAATGATATGTTGCAACTAAAGGTGATGCTGTTGTTGTTATTGATGTAGAAGATAAATGAAATAAATTAAAAATAAAAAAGAGACATGTAACAAAAGAATACAGCATCTAAAAATAAAAGAATTTCTTTGTCGTTCTCTTAATTGTCTACCGAATGCTAATATCAATCATTATACAAATATATACATCGATATCGATATCTATCGCTATATCTATCTATATGTAAAGTGGAATAATATGTGGATCGAATGATCTCGTCGTAGAGGGCGCTTGTTGTATTTTCTTTTTGAACAAATGAAAAATATAGATTAGAAATATCTTTTTATCGGATTTTATCTATTACGCATGATTTTATCAGACAGAATCACATGAGGGTTATAGAACAGCATTCTAATAAATTGTCATTCCAGCGAAATAAATTTTACTATAAATTTGTGAAAATGTTTCTAAACAAAGAACATTAAATATGATTTAATATATTTTTTGCACAATGGCTAAGCCAATTGTTTTATCAATATTCTTCATTTTTATAAATCTCATAACGTTTATTAACACTCATGTTCATTAATTATTAAAAGTGTAGTAGAACTACGAATTATATAAGGTAGACAAAAAGTTCTTATAATAGTAGAGTTTTTAATTTCATGTTAGTTGATTTTTATATCGCATATTGATCTGTTGTAATAGTCACATCTATTACATATTAGCATATGAAAATCGAGTTTCAGAATTGTCAGACAATATTTTACGAAAGATCATTCAATAACTGATATTACTAAAGAACATATTGATGTAATGCAGGATTTCAGGAAACATAATTCACATGTTGATATTCTTTATATTACTACTAGAAAGTAAGTTTCCATAATTTTATAACTTAATTCTAATCACATTTATATTCAATATAAAATTATAAAAACTAGTTAATATTATTTTCGAATAATTAATCTTAATATAATAAACTAAAACAGTAGCCTAACAATGATACGCAATCGAAAAACTGTACTAATATAAGTAAGTTTGATAGATCTCAACCTACGAAAAATATCAAGAGCAGAAGATATACTAATAAACATTAATAGAACTGACAATAATACTTTTAAAAATTTTTATTTGATACGACGATTAAAAATATCAATTTCGTAAAAAGGCCTGGTTTTCGAATGCGCAAATATTGTGATTATAAACATATATAAAACTTGTAGAAAATCAATATCGATTACAAATCGTCAACTTCAAAAACTAATTTAATTTCTGCTATCTATAATATAAGAATTATTTCATAATCCTTCACCGACACCTCGAAAATCACGTCCAACAATTTTTTTCAATCAATCATCTATGTTAAGTTTACTTGAAAATCATTCGAGATTACATCGAATAATATTTCATATCAAAATTGATGACAGATATGCTTCATTTAAATAACATGCTATATCAAGAGTCTGTTTTTTTTCTAACTTTTTTTCGTAACATTATGAAAAGTTTAAATTTCATAATTTTCTTTTTTATTCTTTCTACTTCAATATTGATTATCACTTTTCGATTCAAATCACAATTATTAGCAGATTTATCATTACAACTTTTCATTTTTTTTCTGAGTGAAAATAAATTTCAATTATTTATAATCAATGAATTTATATAGTTAATATTATCTGCAAATATTATGCTTATTTAGTGTAATGGTAAAAAAAGAATTAGTCATCGATTAGACATCTTTTTGTTATTCAGTAGGAAACAGAAGTAATCGTATTTTTATATTTATTTTGTCATCAAGAAAAAATACTGTCTCATATTATTTCATCCAATCCTACGATATACGACAATTATATGTCGTATTCTATACATCAACAAATGATTTCTTCTCACCTGTATATATTTTCTCCTAGGTAGCACAATCATTTTTTATTCATACTTAGACGATAGGTAAAACTAGGGTGACCTTCTAAGAAATAGAGCAAAGTATACGTTTAACAAATAATAATATTACACAATCATTTTTATGTTGAAGTTCCCTTTTTTTTAAAATAAAATAAGAATTTCTCTGTAATATTAACAACTTTTATACAAATCCCATCAAAAGTAGTTTTCATTTGTATATAATTATTTATTCATGAATACGTTGAATATTTTCTTTTATATTAGATTTATATATAAAAACGAAATTATTTCCTTCATTCTGTCACATGTTTATGTTCTCTTATTCGTAGCATAATTATTTTCTTGTTTACTTGTTTTGATTTACGAACATATATATTTTTTTTATAAAAAAAACCGATTACTTGTTCTATATATGGACTATTTGATACGATATTTAATTTTAGAAAGAAATCATTGAAATTTATTTAAATATAAAATAAAATAAAATACAATATAACATGAGCGAAAAAGTATAATTAGAAACAACAATTGTTGAAAAACGTTAATTCATTTTAAGTTCCTTCTACGATAGAATTATATTTGCACTTAAAATAGTTTTTATAATTTCTGTAACTGTGTTTTATATGGTAAATACATTTTTAATAACAATGAACATACTAATAGCAGAAATAAAGAGAATATACTGGTGTTGAATCGATGAAACACCATTACATAAATTTGTATTACAACAACAAGAAGCTATTGTTGCACCGAGAAGTGATGTCACATTACAGCCATTATCACCATTCGAGCATGTAGATACATCAGCAACTCCTCGACTAACTAAATCACCGAATTGAGATTTCTGTTAAGAAAAAAAAATCTTTTTTAATACTTATCTCATAAGAAGAAATATTACATACGGTACATCTTTGAGTAGCGTTGGCCGCAACTATATTCGCAGTAGCATTCATTTGTGTTGCATCAAATGATGTACCACAACCAGCAGATCCACTAGCGCATACGTAGCAGTTGTATGCATCAGTTGAATAAAAACTTAGAATAACTTAACAAAAAAAGAATTTTTTTTCTTATAAAAACGTCTTTATTCATAACTTACCTAAGAAGAGAACTGCGATACCTGTAGCTAATCGTTGCATGATGAATCGAAATAGGTAAAAAAATAAATTATATTGATCAATACTGGCTCTTTATATAGTATTCTGCTCTAGAACGTTTTAAATAAGAGAGGACGTATATTTACTCAATAAATACCTCTCTCCGCTTCACCGATTTATTTTGATAGAAAAATATGGTGTATTTCAATTGCGTAGATACTCATATTAAAAAATCGATTAGTCAGATCGAATGACTAAATAAGAAATAGATTTTCGTTGGTATCCACCTACAGAAGTACTTTCTCTCTATGCTTCGTTTATTCTCAAGTAGAATGTGTTACATATATTTTTATATTTACTCACATGCTCCAAGTAATTCAACAATTTTGTTTCAACCAATCCTACATAGTAGAATATTTTCCGTGTTTTGAAGTTCCATACATTGAAAAAGATTTTTCGTGTAATCATTCTATATTAAGTATGTATTTTTATAACAACAATAAATAAAAAACTTGAAGAGACATCATAGAAGACTGACAAAGTCGAATATAGGAAGTAAGTGATTTATTTATAAATATACGAATTCGACTGAAATGAATAGAAAAGAAAAATGAAATACTGAACTTGTCTGTACTAATTATTTAATGAGTTGAAATTGCTTTTTACTGATTAATTAATTGTATGTCGTCACATCATATTCATTTTGTTGTATTTTCTACCTGTCTAGTAAGGATCGAATACGAACAATGTAAAAAAAAACTCGTTAACTATTCGACAATTATTAGAAATTTGAAGAGAAAAGATCTTATCACAAATTTATCATTGCCAATCATTGGAATTGAATGTAGATATAACATTGATCTATATAGATTCATTTTTCTATCAGAAATTTAAACCTGTAATGATAATAGAGTTCTATGAGAAATAAATCTTCACAAGAAATAACAAAACTTTTATGTTTTTGTTTTATAAATAAATTGTAATTGAGTATTGCCGTTAAAACTATGACATACAAGATAAATAATACATTCAAGTTTTAAATAATAAGACTAAATTTTTGGCAATATCTCATATAATATGTTTTATCAACATAGACTAATTGTATCTGCGAAAGTTTTATAATATTTGCAAGAATCGCATTAAAAATATAACGAATCTCACAGAACGAATAATATTGATTTTATAAAAAAATCCATTGAGCACAAGCATCATATTAAGATGAATCATCGAATATTTCATGACATTTATTTATTATTGTTGTTAATGGACGAACACTTATCTATTACTAGAAATACAGGCATATTAGTACGGATTTATTATGCGTTATAAATTCCACCTGCACTAAACTTCATCATTCATACGATGGATTTGTTCATGTATAATCATAAAATTCTACAATATTTAAAAGAATAACTCGTTCATTATTTACAATTGAATGTTGATTAAGTCAAAGAAACTTTGAACATGATTCACTAATTTTATATTTTGGTGTTGTAAAATTCATGTTAGTAATAAAAAATAAATACTGAACAATAATCATTATATACATTCACAAGAGATAGTAAATTACTTTTTTACTAAAATAATCATGTCGAAACTTGCAGACAATTATTTAAATAAAATCATATTCGACATTTTATTATGTGAAGTTTTAAAATGCATTTTCTATCAGATATTTCTCATTAAAAAAATAGAGTATAATATCGTCAATATAAATATTACACGTTCAGTACAACTGAGAGAATTTTAATTGCATTACAAAAATAAACCAAAACGATTTTCTGATGCGTATAGATATAAACTCATTCATAAATGTCCTAAATTATTATTGAATAAAATTGGATATTAAAGGTCTAACGAAGTGCATTACAATTTGATGATGAATAAAGCGAGTTATTTTAAATCTGATAATGGAATCTTTATTGACGACAGATTATCGTTGCTTCATATAAAAATCTTAACGTTCTTTCACATATCTATAATTTAAACTAGATATATGCATGAAAATATTTATTTATAAGGATCGATAAGTAGATTGATCTAATGAGAATAAATAGAAAAACTATTCTAACGTATTTATACTCATTTGAATCAGATTTCTATAGAAATAATTAATATGTAAGTTCAAAAGAAAAAATAAGTTCAAAGTGTTGCTAATTGCGTTGACATTAAAATAGTAACGTTTTTTACTAAATCATATCGTCTATTCCACTTTAACAATAGAATTTTTAAGTGTGAGAAACATCATACAAATAAAGTGAAGTTTCAACCATATTTGTGTACATTCAGTTGAATTTTATTAGAAATTATTAAACATTGTCATTTTTCAAGAAACGTTCATATTCAATTCGGATAGAGAAGATGATTGGAACAGTTCAGATCATTCTCATTATACAAATAGTTGCTTTCCTATTAATGTTAATCTATCTTTTGCCAGTTATCTTACATCGACGTTTTCATAATAAAAATAATATTCTAGTGGGCCATTATTGTCTACTGTGTATTGTTTGTTGTATATATTGGGTTTCGTATTTTGCATTGTTTATTTTTTATCCAGCAATTCTCTATGAGTCTATTATTTTATGCATTTATAATGGATTTTTACCAGTAGTTCTCAATTGTTTAGTAGTTTATTCTTTAGCATTAATTATGATCAGTCGATGTTTTCGAATTATCTATCCAAATCTGAGATTATTAAAGACTCGAATAGGATTTTTTATATCATTTCTTATACGATGGATGATTTCTATTGTTTTATCAATACCATCTATTGTTATTGCTGTCGGGGTAAGAATAACATAATACAAAAATTATAATCGAATATTTACAAGAAGAATTTATTTTTTTTAATGTTATTTTTAGGAATGTGTATATTATAAACCAGCATCTGATTGGACTTCGTTATATTTTTTATTGGTTATTGTCATAATTCCTTCGATTCTCTTTGTTGTCTTCAATTTAATTATTTTTTTCTCCGTACGAGCTTCGACGCTCCGTGTTCATGCTACAACAACAGCCGCATTGCCTCATAGTAACAAGATTATCAATCATCAAAAACGTACTCGTGATATACATATAATCAAACATATGTTTTTCGTTTCCACCATGTTTATTGTTGGATAGGCACCTGTTCATATTCTTTCAGCAGTTGATTTCAAAATGTAAGTATCTCTACTAATTTATTTATCTATAATTATGAACTTCGACAATATTTAAAACAACAATTCTTTCATTATTTTAATTTCAATCGAAATTAAACTGAACAAACAATATTAATTTATATAGTTTTGAATATTATTCAATATTAGACTCTCTTGACTATTTACTTATCTGAATTTTTTTCATATGGTGTAAAATATGTGTAGCTGAAAAAGAATGATATGTATAAATAAAATAAATATTAATCAATAATAAACATATCTACACATACAAAAATAATAAGATAAATGGAATATAATAATGTATTTGCCAATAGTCATCTCGAAGAATTTCTCCTATTGATTATACATACATAAAATTAGATTTAGTGTTAGATTATTCAAAGCTCTGAAGTATATAAATGTGCACATGAACTGTTGCAAAATAAAGACACAAGTAACGCTCCTCCGCGGACTCGCTTAGCTCTTTCTCGTAAAAATGCATTTCCTTCACATTTACCGGAAAAACAAATGAAAACCGTGAAAAATCAGTTTTCGATGTTTTTTTGACCCTGCGGACACACAAGCAAACAAACAATTTATGTTTACTGGACTCTTCTCTACGAGAAAGAGAACATAATTTGAGCGTCTCTGTATGTTTTATGACTGGTTGATTTAAATGAAGCAATAATATTTGAAGGTTATACACTGTACATTCTAACCCATGAATTAGTGTTACTCAATATATTGAACAGATGTATCTTCTAACATAGAAGTATAGGGATAGACTCTGTAGAAATAATTGGACAAAGATATCACCTATCTAATCGTTTTAATCTCTTAATCTATTGCATTATTGTACTTGATATAGAGTTATCAAAACTATTAGCTAGAATAGAGTCTTATTAAAACCAGGCATACAATTCATATTTTATTTCAACGAGAATAACAACTATTTAATTGTTAAGTCTTTGTGCCTGAATAAAATATTCGTCAAAATTATCTGGATGAGTCTATCTCGCTTTAAATTCTACATAGACATTCGTATTTTTGTTGTAATGTGATATTATATTCAATAACAGGCTTATTTTTATTATAATAACAAATCTTAAAAGTAATAACAGAATTAATCCTCATATAATGATTTACTTTTTAATGATAAGAATCGATGTATTATAAATATAAATATATTCGAAAATTCTTACCAAATAATCATGCCGTACATGAACTACAAAGATATTAAACTAAATGTATCATCTGTTTTTCAGAACATAAATTTTATTTGATGTTATTATGAAATATGTATGTAAGAAAAATCAATGAATAAACTCTGATAAATACTGTTTCATGCATACAGGCGTCAAAGGACATGGTGGTCGTCCTGGAAAATGTGCACATGGTGTTGGAAGTAGTCGACACGTTTCACCAAAAGCACATGTGATTCCATCACATGGATTAGGAGCACACTGACAAAATTGACAACTACCATCATTAACTAAGCCATGAGGGCATTGAAGAGTACAATTCGATATATCGTCGCATGGTTGAACACAATAACTACCAACTCCATTTGGTGGACCAAAGTTATTTGCTGGAGCTTGGCAACATTTTTCTTCACCTGGACATAAAGCATCTGGACCCTTACATGCTTGTGAATTATCTCCCACCGATGACCAATAATCTGGACATTTCTTTGGTTTTGGAGTAGGATCAACATGGATAGATGGGTCATCGATACATTCAGTCTTCATATCACATCTTCCTTGTATAGCACATGGTTCAAAATCTTTTGAAATACATTTAGTTCCAAGAGGACAAGTAGTTGAAAGACATGGATCTGATGCACATTCACAAACATAACATGGTACTGGATCAACTTTTAAACCAAATGGACATTGAATAGTACATGGTTGAGTAAATTCTGGACATGGACTAAAACATTTCATACCATCAATCAGTGGGCAACATTTATAATCCCATGGACAAGGACTATCATCACCTTCAGTTGAACACGATAAACCACTGGAAACATACCGAGGAGATGGACATTGACCATTTAAAATAGTTTCAGCCTTTATAACTATTTTTATCGATATAATCGTGAGAAGTAGTAGAAATAATTTCATTATTCAATCTTGTTTTGTAATTGAAAATATCAGATGTAAATTCTTAGCGAAACAAGCGGTATATATACAATATAAAAATGATTGTAGGATTAAGCAAGAAAAGAAAGAAAATGTAAAATATTTGAGATTTTTTACCTAGAATAATGTGATTAAGTAGTATCATATTTATTTATTGACAAAAAAAATCTATTTCGATTAATTTCAAAGGTATACAGAATAGCTCTTTCTCCTCTTTCAGCCACTTCAGTAATACCTTATCGATTTTTCTTACAAAAATATTCTCTATTTATATGCTTAAGAGTCGTCCGATATTCTGACTTTTGTTAATATCTTAAGTTGAAAGAAAACAAATTATTATATTAGAAAGCCTTTATTCATTTATTTCTAAGGATTCGAATAAAACTATTCAAACATAAATAACTAGCCATATTATAATCATTTAACTATGAAATTATTTTTTATTCTTATATACTGCCTATTATGTAGTATTACTGACAAGCAAAAAACTATCATCTTCTTATCTTTAAATCAGATACTAATATTCAGAAATAGACGATCTATTCTAGTTCTAATGAATTCACTTACTTAAGTAAGCATTACGTGTAAGGAAATCTCAATGTGATGAAATTTAAGATTTATGGGGTAAACTAATTTTTTTATCAGTAGCAAATATATCTAAAATAATGCTTAATAATTTATATTAATATAGTGTATAATATAGTTTCAGACGGATATGTAAATGTCGTTTTTGCCATGCATGATATTTATAAAATGCATATTCATTACGTTTGATCATTAAATCATATGTAAAGGTTGTCACTAAAATTTCGAGTATTATCAATCGATCCGTCATTGGTTTTTTGTTTAGTTTTTTGAAGATCTCTTTCGTGAATTTATTATTATTTAAGAGAAACGGAATATGTTTTGCAATATAATTTTTTTTCTTTTCTGTCATTTCTTTTTTTATATATCGAAAGAAAAAAATAAACATGTTTTTCTTATGAAACGTTATGCAATTACACCCATGCTTTGCGACAGATTAGAAACAATATTTATTTTCTTCACTGTATTTAAAACTAACTGATATTACTCTTTATTATAATGTAAAATATAAATTAATCTTCAATCTACAAATTTCAATTTTGTTTTTTTTTGTTTTTTGCATGTATAGTTGTATAAATAACGATAGGAATATTAACAAAAGCAGCTATTAGACACCACTGAGCAGAGAATTCAGCATTAACACCACCCATTGACCAAAGACTAATAAGTGTTGTTAGATAAAAAGGAATACAAATCGTTGATTGAAGTATACGATCATAATGTAACATAAACGTTATTGTAATTGTTGCCATAAATACAAAATGATTTGGTTGAAGTTGAAATGACGCTATAGCAAATTTCCATACAAGATGATTATCTTTACCTTCATAAGTACATGTTCGTAAACCATAATTTGTTTGTTCATTAAGCGACATGGACTCTAAACCACTAGCTTTTATATAAAAACCAGCAATAAAATTCGCCATAGCTACGACGAAAGTACATAATGACATATACCAAGCAAAACGATTATCATTTTTAGTAGATAATGAAGCATATATTAATGGTTGTAATTGAAGATGTGTATAGATGATTATTGTTAAAAATGTATTCATATTTGAGCATGAATTTTTAAGATTTGTTTCAGCTCCAAAAAACCATTGTAATGCTTGTAAACTTTCCATGATAAAATACAGTAAAATAATAAAAAGAAAATGGCGTGTATATGGTGGTCGATTGTATGCTACATAAGCTGCTGATACCAGATGAACGCAAGCAAAAAAAATGGAAACCTCAAAACTCCAACACATATTTATGATTTGTTTGCTAATAATAAAAAAAATTGTTTTCTATACCGATTATACGTGACTGATAAATGTATTACTATTCACCAATAATCATATCCAATATATATATATATACACGACTGACTTTTTCACCTTACACGTCATTACAAAGGAGTAGAAATATTTTTGGGAGTCTACACGTGATATTTACGTCACTATATTAGTTCACAAGGTAAGTTTACGTATGCAAATTTATCGTACGTGCAAAATATATGAGGATAATGTGGATATACATGTATACTCAGTACTTATTATAATCAGTCATACGATACTAATTTTATCTCTTATTTGTTTTGATTGTTTATATTTATAATTGAGAAACATAAGCGACAAATATATTTGAGTGTATCTATGGTGGTGCAGTTCAACAAGTTAAATCATCAATTTATTTAAGTATAGTGCGTTAGAATAGATTTACAATTAAACTCTAGCGGATACAATATATTTTCGATGGCAAAGCAGATTTTGCTTGAATATTATTATTCTTTCGAGTAACTTTGTTCAATATGCTAAAACTTTCAGACATTGGTATAAAAAAGAACACAAATATAAATATATATGTAGTTTCATCTTCTCTGTTTATATTTTTATTATATGCATCATTATCTATAATATCACCGTCTAAATCATTCTATCAAATATCAACAGGCAAAAAAAAGGAAAGTAAAGCGACATCAAACACAGATATAGAAAACATTTGTTATGCTATGCTTGTATATGTGGTAAGATGAAGATTTCAATTACGTGTATATATATATATATGTATGTATTTGGTATTTGCCATCGTTATCATCCTCTTTTGAGCTCGTATTACGGTCCGAATTTATTTTTCTTAACATTGTAAGAAAAAAAAGAAGTGAAGAAACAACGACTATATGTCATTTGATTCAATATAAATAACAAATACATTGACGTACTGATAATTAGTTAATACTTGTTCAATAATAATGATTTGGTGGTATATTCTTATCTGTATTATTTCAATTCATAAGAGTAAGATTTTTATCATTCGTGGATAATTATTTTTAGTAAAAAATCCTAGTAAAAATACTCAAGCCACCATAATTGTTACTCTGATGTTTTATATAGTGTATCTATTTTTGTAGTTGTTCATCCTGTTCAATCACAAGATAATGATGATGATGGTGATAATGATGTTGGTGACGAAGATCAAGAAGAATCAACAACAATTTCTCGATTAACCACTATACATAATGTTACAGAACAATCAGTTCAACAGATTTCATTACCTACACAGAATCTTACATTTACCAATCGTGTAAGCAACGAAAGTGAACAAAATATGAATCAAATTGATTTAAATATTTCATTAAAGCATCGTATTATTATTGCACTAGCTGTTCTATGTGTAGCTCTTGCTGTTCTACTTGGTTTGCTTATTTCAATTGTTATATATCAATGGTTACAAAAGAAGAAGAAGGAAAAAGATGATTTAATGAATGGAAGAAGTACAGCACGACCAGATTTTGTTGATTCATCATATAATTATCATGATCATACTTATCAACAAGCAATTAAACTTTAGAGAAAATAAACATGTAAAATAAGTAGATAATTCACAAACATTTTACTATTACTATTTATGTAATGTGTAGCATAGACGCTGTCTTTTAATATATTGTTAGCTGGATATGGATAAAAATTATGTTCTTTTTATGACGCGAAAAAAACAATCCGTATAGGTTTTCTTTTATTTTCAATGTATTTAAAACTTGTTGTTATTCATATATATATATACTCATTATTAGTTATAGTTGTATAGTTTTTTCTTTCCTTATTATAAAACCTGAATGTTTTGATTTTTCTTCTTTTTTTTGTCCAATAAAGTATAAATATTACCTAACTACTAGTGACATCGTTTTACGAAATAAAACAACATCAAATTTAGAGGATTCACGATATATATATCATCATATAGTTCATAATTTTGGATTGTGACTATTCAGTAATTTAACTTTTTACTAGATTATGATACTCATCACTAATATAATTCAAGATAAAATTATTATTTGTGCTTAAATGTATTGCACGAACGAAACTATTGTTTCCCCGACCAGTTGTTTGCAGAGTGGAACAGATTCTCAGCAATGTACTGTATATATTATGACGTGAACATGACACAATTGAAAATATTACATAGATTATATATCTGACCATCGTAATGTAATAGATTCTACAACAGAGATAGTTTGATCGATTGTTAATCACATCTATCAGTTTGTCAAAAACAGTTCAATGGTCGAAAACTCCAAATAATGCTTTTTATCAACACGCAATTGAAAACAAAATTTCAAGTGAAAATACGTTAGAAATCACTAATCGCCGAGTAATGATTTTGCTACAGAATTTTTATTTAATATATTAAAATTTATATAGTCTCATGCTCAAAAACAAGCAACAGCATCAATAAAATAAGACATCCATATAAAGTAGATTGTTTTGGAAATAACTCTTCATACAACTTTCTAGGTATATATCTCAATCTTCTTTCATATCTGTTGAAAAGACAAAATTTTGCATAGATCTGGAGGCAATTCATTGTTACAAAGTAATTTGAATTCAGTTTTTTCAGTTCCATCATTAGGATAGATGCAGTTACATACGATGTTCGTGTAGGCGGCTTCTTTACTCATAGGATACACAAGTAACGCTCGTCTAAGGACTCACTTAGCTCTTTCTCGTAGAAATGTATAAATTTATATTTGTATATTTATTTTAGATATATTGTTGTATTACCAAAATTGTTTAACAATACAATGTCAAAAGCAGCTAAGAAAACAACTGAAGGTGAATATGAAGCAGCGTTTTCAAATCAAGAACACATATGGCATAAATTATGTATTGGTGATTTAGATGGCAAACAATTCAAGGACCAACATGACATAGTAACGGTACCATACTGAACAAGTAAGGCTTCTCTGAGGACTCGCTTAGCTCTTTCTCGTCAAAATGCATTTTCTTCACATTTACCGGACAAACAAATGAAAACCGTGAAATATCAGTTTTCGATGTTTTTTTGACCTTTCCGCTCAGCCCTCTCTTCACTCACCCTTAACCATGATGATCCAACAGACCTGAGATTCGAAGTTCCCGCATCGAACTACCTCTAGAAATGTCTTTTCCGGAAAATCGGGGTTTGATGTTTTTTTGACCCTGTAGACAGACAAGCAAACAATTTATTTTTACTGGACTCTTCTCTACGAAAAAGAGAATATAATACGTTGTGAATAAGAAAAATATGTATTGATTCTAATAAGTTTTTAATAGGCATATATAGAGATCATATTTGTTTTGCTATTGCTTTAATAATGAATTAGTATGATTTAAGTAGACTAACAAATGACCTATTCAATAGATACTGCAGTATATACAAGATTATAAGCTTTCAAAGAATATGCAGACAACAACTTGAGTGACCAGTTTAATTCAGGTTTTCAAGAATTATATTGCGACAAAAAATTGGATTTTATATATTTATATGAATGCGTTAGTGTCATTGTCACTCATCTTATTATTGAATCAAGAGAAACAAAATCATTTTATGTTTTCTTTTAGTGATACATGAAGTTTGCACGTTTAAATTAAGTATAATATTAGAATAATTTATTGCAATATATACAGATTTCGAATTAAACTGTTTCAAAACTTTTACAAATAGTATGATATAATCAAAGAACATACGATGGTACTAGCGTTGTATCCAAGCCAAGCATAGAACATCTAATTATTCCAAGTCATGTTTTTTCTCATTCTTGGTTATATATACAACAAGACAACAAAATGATAAAGAATAATTTTACTATGAAACTTTAAAATAATGTTAAAAGAGTAACGTCGATCATCACCCTTGTTCTATTGTCATGCGTTCTCGCGGTTCTGTCATCCAGTATTGTATATTTCTTTTTCTTTTTTTCAATCCATTATGAAGGGATAAGTCATCATTATATAGAGTATTGTGACAAACGTACATTTCTCAAAATATTGGAGATAGCAAGTTGATTGAGATACATCTTTCCAATGATAGTACACTATTACTTTAGGTATAATCAAATATATTGTTTCTAATATCTCTGTTATCTCATTCTCGATTTCAATAGACGATTTTAATGTCATTAATCATATTGTAAATTGTCTCGTTTCATCAACTTTTGTATTATAATTCGTATTCTATCTGTTTATTGTTTTCTCAAATACAGATGTATAGATGTATGCATGCTGCTTTTTGATAAAGTTCTGATTGGAGTCTCGTTCTGCATGATTCGACTTATACAATTAAATATATTGATTTGCGAATTTGGTCCATACATAATGTCTGAAATACGAACAAATACTGTTCAAAGAACTAAATCAAATTTTGTCATTTTTTACTATTAATAATTGAGATATTCCGAAAAAAAAACGAATTTATTTATCGAATATCATCTATAAAAAATTTCACAATATATTTAAAGAAAGTTTTTAAGTCAACAACTTATTCTTTTCGTACTGTTCTAAGAAAATGAAACAGTTTATTACACAATTTTAAAGATTTTTACTCGGATCAGTCGAAACTGTCATTCGAATAAATGTTCCATAATCAAAAAGATTTGGATTTATCGTTTCAAATTTCATAGAGCATTGATTATATCTATCCGAATATAGTGTAATTATTGCATTTCCATCATTATTAAATACTAATTGTTCTTCAGATGCTTTGTTATGTACGAGATGATAAATATTTTTAATTAATTTATTTGATGATAATGATGGTTTAGATAAACGTAATAAAAATGGTCGATTTTTGTCTGATTGAAGAGTTAATGTCATATTACCAAATGGAAAATGCCAAAAAAATGTCATTTCTCTATTTGTACATTGATCAATTGATGAATTAATTGTTATATGCTGACAATTGAATGATATTGGAGTAATAATAAATGAACAAGGATAATAAGTCCATAATGTTGCATTTGATTCACATTCTGATGAAACTGTAATATTGTAGAACAAACTGAAGATAAGTATAGATATTATAGAATACATTACATCACTCTTATATGTGTTATAATGAATCTTTTGATAATAAAATTGACTAAATGAACGTGAATATTTACATGAGCTATGTTCACATACAGGTGAGCCGATTGTAAATAGACACCCACACGCGTATAGGAAATGTGTCATCACGCAGTCGATCAATAGACACTAAATGTTTGCTACTGGCGGGAAGATGAACACTAATTATCTTTCGTATATCGACTACTCCCAACCATTATCTTTATTTGTTTTTCAGTCAAACAAAATCAGTAGCTTATTTAAACTCATCAGTTGACAATAATAATTCATTCAATTATTAAAAGACATTATAATCATGTGACTTTCTTTATCCTTATTAAAACTTATAATTTATTAATTAAAACCTAATTTATGAGATCAATAGAGAAAATATATTATCTGATGTAAACGTGAATTAAGACGTAAAATCAAAATGTTATTTATTTGAAACCTCTGCCATCGCCTATGTAGCTGAATACTTTCTATTCAAATAGACTGATATATTGTATAATCATTCTAAAATAAAGATGCACGAGATGATGATCATCATGGTGATATGTTTAAATTTATGACTCGTTACTTATTTGTGTCATACGTAGAAGAGAAATAAAGCGTTGTAGAATTTATGATTTATATATAGTCGTGTTTATTCCTTATGCTATATTCTGACCGAACAGTTTTTATTTCCTTAAGTAAACAATATCTATCATATACAAACGATTATTTAAATTTTTACTGATCAATGACATCGTGATATAAAAAGTATTTGACAAATTGTTTGAATTAAACTAAATAGTTCAATATCTATTAAATTATACTTTGGCTTTATATAATTAATTTTAGCATCACTTGCAATATTCTTATCGTAAAAAGAATTTCTTTCACGAACCACCTAGTTGTATTTTTTTTCTCTCTAATATCTTAAGCAATTTTAATAATAGTATAGTATTACTTATATCACATTTACGATAAAAATATTATTCATGTTTTAGTAAGCGTTATTTACTTATTTTTCAAAAGCAATCGATTTCTTGTAGTTTAAATGTCAGATTATTAATTGATGTTTATAAGTTCAGATCAACTTCTACTATAACAACAGAATCATGCAAGACGTTTTAAAAAATAGATTACGACTGATATAATGAATGAATTCTTGTATACTGTCGATGCAAGATAACAGTTCGAATAAAGGAAAATAATTTTTATTATTATAATTATCAGTATGCAATGAAAAGTTACACCAAACTTTGATTTTATCTGTTTATTAACAATCATTTGATTATGATTTTTATTAAAGGAAATAGGAAACAATTGCATCTAATGATGTTGAACTAAAAGCTGATGGCAAGGTAACAACGAGCAGTTTGATATAAACTTAGAAGTTATTGCATTAAGAACACTTGATTATATTATAGAAGTAAAAGTTGTTAACTAACAGACAACTAGTTATACTATATTTACATCTTTAAGAAATGTACCAGTAGAATCGATATTTCAAATGAAAATACTATGATGATAAATGCCTGAATATTAAAAAATAGTAATTGTTCTATTGATTGAAATTAAAAGTACTTGTTATATTTCATAGTAAAAGTTCAGTTGAACAGTGATTATCTTGACTTTTTTAAGGTTGTCTTTATTTTCTTATAAGTTTTTTTCTCGATCATTGTATACGATTGTAAACATCGTCCATAATTAAGTGGTCTCTCTCTCCTTTCTTTCTCATTTTTCCGTGTGTTGTATTG